TTGAAACTGTCGTCTTCGGTGAAACCCACGTGCTTGATCTCGCCCATTTCTTCGACGATGCCTGTGAAGAGGGATTTGATTTGGGTGGGTTGGGTTTTTTGGGGTTTGTGGAAGTGGCCCATGTAGGTGTTGAAGAGGAGAGAAAGTGGCGCTGATTTGAGATTTGGAGGCAGCTTGAGGTGGGTTTTGGAGGGGATGGAGAGGAGTTTGAGGAATGGGGTTTTTGGAGGGGAGGGTTTTAGGGCTTTGGACAGAGAGGTGATGGAAGAGGAGGAATAGATCGCCATTCTCTGTCTGATTCTAGCTAAGTCAAACTTGTTAGCGATTTAACATGTTTCTTCCTTGTTCTGCATATGTTGATTCATGCCAATCGTAGATGATTTTGAAATTTCGTCGATATATCTCTGTATAAGAAAATAACTTACGATTTAAATTTTAAAAATGAACAAAGTAATTTTTATTTTTTGGTTTAGATCGCTCTAAATTTTATTTTAAAATTAATTTAACAACTATATTAATATTCGAAATTTAATATAGAAAATAGGTCTTTAAATATGTGTTTGAAGTGATTTTTTAAAAGTACTTATAAAAATTATTTATCATAAATACTTTAAAAAAATAATATTTAAAATTGCTCCACCATTATCTGTATCACCACCACCACTGCCACCATCACCATTTGTCGTTGTCGTCGTCACCATCGCCACCACCACCGCCACCACCCCCCACTACCACTGCCACCGCCACCCCCCAACCATCACCACCATCGTCGTCGCCGTTGCCACCACTGCTATCGCCACCACCACCACCATTACCACCACCCCCACTCCACCACCGCCACTACCATCCTGTCACTGTTGCCCCCACCACCACCATTGCTGTCGCCCCTTGCCACCATCACCATAATCACTGCCCCCCAACAACAATCATCAGTATCTCCTACTATCATCATTACCACCCACCACTTCTCACCCCCATTACAATTGATATTTAAATTTATTTATTTTTCTTCTATGTTTATGATTTGTTTTTGAATATAATTATAAAAATATTTATTTATCATTTTTTATTACTCTATCCCTTCAAGCACATGCAATAACTAGTATATATAATAAAGTAATTTTTAAATATCAAAAGATAAACAAAATAATTTTGGCTATTCGCGTTTACGATCGCTTTAAATTTTACTTTAAAGTTAATCTAACGGTTAATATTAACATCTTAAATTTAATATGAATAATAGGGTCATAAGGGTGTATTTGGAGTAACTTTTAAAAATTATTTTCATAAATACTTTTAAAAAAATAGTGTTTGAAACCTCCCCACCACTACCTCTACCACCACTGCCGCCACCGTCGTCGCCACTACCGTCACCGTTGTTGCTACCGCCACCACCATCACCGTTGTCGCCGCCACCACCATCACCGTTGTCGTCCCCACCACCACCTCTACCATCATCGCTGCCGCCACCACCATCACTGTCACCCCACCACCTCTCACCCTCATTACAAATCGATACTTAAATTCATTTATCTCTTCTTTATATTTGTAATTTGATTTTGGATATAAATATAAATATATTTATTGTTTATCATTTATCAATTTTTATTACTCTGTGTTTTTAGACACAAATAATAACTAATNTCAATACAAAAACAAAATTATCACTTTTGTGGATTATTTATTATTTTTGTTGGTATCTTTACCACTACTGTGGTATAACTATTTTTATTAGTTTTTTTTGATACAACAATAGTAATAAAAATATCCACAAAAATAATAAATATCGATACGATACTCTTTTTTTTTTGGGATATTAAACTGAGGGTGATAATTGGCAAAGATTATAAAAAACGTGTGACCTAAGAAAACATATTTTTGGATCCTATTGTACCATACATCAAATGATGAATTCATAATCAGTTCTTAAATTCGGTTGATTTGAAGCTATAAATACAAATCTCATTGGTTTGGCGGAGGATTACGGGTTCCTAGTGTGAGCAATCACTTATGGTTTGTTAGGCAAGGTAGATGAAAAAACGTAAGGATAAAAAGTGAAAGTGATACATTTTCTATTTTTTAAAAGAGAAATTTTTTATTCTCTCGTTTGTGTTTGACAAGATAGATAGAAAATAGGAAAATTTGATTTTTTGTGTTTAGTATCATGAAAAAGTGGAAAGATAATAAATTATATTTTACTATTATATCTATATATAATTAATGTATACATAAAATGTAATAGATAAATATGATATGTATATAGGTAAATAACATACATTTTAACACACATAATTAATTTTTTATCTATTTTTTCTTACAATTTTAGAGGAATTGATTTTGACAAGTTAAAAGAAAAGTTAATCCATCAACATTTTCTTCCTTCTTATTTTTATTTCTTACTAAACATGATATTTTATTTATTCTTTCAAATTTTCATTCTATTTTTCATTGTATCAAACAAAACATTACTCTAAACAATGGTGGACATGGGCATGTACAGTACAATCTGCCTCTTATGGAGAGAGAGAGATTGCTGCAGCAATACTTGGAAGCTGCATTTCATGGAAATAATGAAATTACAAAAGTGAATTTGGTAGGGTGGCAAGCAAACCCACCAAGTAAACAGAATATTAAGTCCCAAAACCTTAGGCAGTAGGTTCCAATTTCAAGAACCTGGGGTTGGTAGTAACATGCGTGTGGTTTTGGCGGGAGTGGAGTGGGGTTTGTTCTGCAAAGTGCTTCAAGGCATGCAAGTGCGTTAGCTCAATGTAGGGGTACCCTGTGATTGGTAGAATTCAATATTGTTTAATACATTGGTGTCTTTTGCTTCTTTAAGTTGGAGATTGAATAAATATAGGTGTAGCATGTAACATATGTTATCATCCAATGTTTAATGAAAGAAGGTGTAAATCCAATTATGCTCCTAAAAGATACAAAAATTCTTATTTTACCCTTTGAATAATTAATTTTTTCAGATTACATGATTAAAGAATAAAAAATAATATAATGTGGTCCAACATCTTATTTTTTATTTAGTTATCCGTCTGTTTTATATCAAATCAACCAATCCGAAATCACATAAGCAAACGGTTTCCCTCAATGTATTTTTTGGGATTTTTTTTATTTTTTATTTTTTTTGTATATATCAAACAAAATCAATGAATGTGAGTTTAATAATTTTAAATGAGATATGAAAAAAATAATACGATAACATGCAATTTGTCAGATTATGTGGTCCTTCGTAGAACGCAATGATGACTAAGGATTGATGTAATGAATTCCAAATAATTTATAAAAAATTCAGTTGAAATTGAATTTCATAACTGCAAACCATTTTAATATCGTACTATTTAGACTCGTAACTATAATACAAATAGCTAATATGCACAATTATTCACAGGTCAAGGGCAACAAATCAACCATAGGACGAACTTGAAACTTCGAGGTAATACATCAAAGGTTTCCAATTTCCGATATCGTTGATGATTTGTTACTTTTTTTTCTCACTTCTACACTATGGCTGCCCATCTACCAATTACTTCTGTAACGCCCAACACTTTTAAACTGTTTATTCATAACTGTAAAAAACATTGATCAGAATTAATAAATAGTAAAATTTGCACAAGGGATACCCTGATGCATCAAGAAACAGAAAACCCCAAGAGAGACGGAAAAGGTGCCTCAATTTAGTATACGAGACTCTCATCGTTGCAGGATATGAAGAGAATTAGATGTATGTAGCTTTTTCCCGAATAAGGAAATACTATTTTCGTGACTTGATTCCTTGACGCTTAGATCACAAGGGAACAACCCAAATGTTGCGCCAAAGTGCCTCTCTAGATCCTACAAACCCAAATCCTTTCCATTCCATGATAACACAAAAGGCCAATGATACAACTTTGAATAATAAAGTAAAACAAGAACTCTATTTGGATTTGGATCCCCTCCCACACATTCTTTTCAATTTCTCTCAACTGTAGACCATCCACTGGGGGGGACCCATTTTAGACTGTGGATCCCACTTCAATTCACTTGCATTAGAAGGGGCTCAAATCTACTCCACAGAACATCCAGAGAAACAAATAGAAGAATGTTCACATAATATAGTGATGCACTAGGCTTCAAAAGGAGCTGATGGTAGAATTTGTGTCTAAATAAACACTTGAACAATTCCTGGTATTTGGACATCTAGTATCTGATCTGAGTGAGCAGAGAGAGATAAGGTCACGACTTAAAGGAAATCGACTCAATAATTTTGCGAAGGATGGTTGGTCATGGAGGAGGCGTTTTAGTGACCAACATGCCAATAAATAGGTGAGGTAAAGGGACACCATGTGCAAGAGAAAAGTTATAATCAAAAGAAAGTTTCAAGGAAGTATGCTCCTAAAATAATTTTCTTTTTTTTGATTTGATGACGAGAGTTTGATAGGTGTAGTGCAAAGATAGAAAGACTCCTCCAAATAGGTTGTGGGTGAAGATCACAAACTGAAAATGTGCATATGCAGAATGTGCAATTCAAAAAGACCAAAACATAAAAAGAAAAAAACAAGCGTAATCTAAAAGATTTGCAAAGGAAGACAGAAAAACGCATCATCTCCTACATCCTCAAAGGTATTGATATATTATTCAACTCATCCTACTCCTTCGCTTTGGGCATTCTGCTAGGATTAGACCATTGCATCATATATCCAACAAATGTAATGTACCCAATATGGGTTTCCAAGGATAAAAAAAAAAACAAAGAAGTTTCTTGTTGCCACTCAATATAGGATCATCAAGCTAAATAATCAATCCCATTATCCACTGAATTAGAATTTAGAACCACAAGATGTATGAGGTATGGAAAAATCAATTATACCAATTCTTCTGAGATTTGACATGGTTAAGGCTCTGATAAAAATAGGAAAGGATGGTGTGTTTTGGTTTTTTTTTTTTTTTTTTTTTTTTTGGGGGGGGTGGGGGAATTCCAATAGTTCACCTTGGAAAATTTCCCTGACAAACTACATCAGAACCTCCTTCACAATTGTCAGCCTGTGTGCATCTTGCTTCAATCTGGAATAACCCATATCATAACGTCTCTAATACCCAAATTCATGTTACAACACTCAGCCTCTTGACACTTCCACAGATATGTCAATCATCACTTGAAAAAGTCCAAATTATCTTAACATGTTTGTTAAATTCGTGAAGATCAGAAGCATGAGAATGACTAGTTGAGACTTGAGAGAAATATTGTAAAGCAAATGTTAAAGAGGAACAATGGGTGATAATTGTTTTACTTGACTAAATTTTAAGGGGCCTAAGGGCTTATCAATTTGTCCTATGAAGTTTGTCAACAACTGCAAAGCTCCAAGAGCATTGAGTCCTGCATCATCAGGATTTCACACATGTTGCTGCAGTTGCACACATAAATCATCCAAGCACCATTGATCATTCCAATAGTTAGACTATCAAATTCATGACCAGTTGGAAACTGGACAGATTTATAAAAACAACCATCTGCTAACAGCTGTCAAAACTCCTGGCTGTGACAGATATGTCAAATCCGAATATCCGAATTTCTATATTTACTTCTACCTCTGCATTGGGAGGAGGAGCAATGCAGAGGTAGAAGTAAATATAGAAATACTATGATTCATAACAACACACATACTAGTGAGGTCTGGATGTCAAAAGCCTCAATGACTTATTAGCTTGTAAGACGAATAAAAAATTATATATGGAGGAAAAAAATAATTGAAAAAAAAAAAAGTCAGATGAAACAAATGCACCACCGGAGATTCTAGTTTTATGTAGGCGAGTTTGACAAGACATTGCTGGATATGGCATTTGGGTATGTATTGAATAACATAACAAGGATGTTACAAACAAATTTCTTCACTATTTATTTCGTTGTATTTTTCAGTTTCAGGATAAAGCTAACCAATACACAGAGACAGAACATCACAAAAAGATGCGACTTTCAACTTGGTATGGTGATTTATAATCTTTGTTGCATATAATGTACCCATGAATCATACAAGAGAAACTCCACAAAATGCACATATTCTGTCCAAACCAGCAAAGACCAAAGAGTAATATCATCTTCTCGCTCTACAGTGGAAGTGATATTAGATCATGAACATAAAAAGATGTATACTTCGAAACCAGATATTGCAGACCCCAAAAGTCCAAAATTCTTATTTATATTGCCAAGCAAATTGCCACAACATAACAAGGAAACACCACAAGTGACATCAAAATAGCAATACATTTTATTCAAAAAGGGCCATAGAAATCAAAAAACAAACAAAGATTACCTCAGGGTCAAGAAAATTTGGTAGAATTGACAAACCCACTGCTTAAAAGCCTCTCCACATATTTCCCAAGTATATCCACCTCCAAATTCACCTTCTGCCCAACTTTTTTCAAAGGAATCACCACATTCTGCTGCGTATAAGCCACCAGCATAAAATTAAAGCACATTTCTTCATCAAACACATCCACCACAGTCAAACTAGTCCCATCCACCGCAATAAACCCTTTAGGCACAATATACTTCAACAACTCTTCATTAGTCCTAACCTTAACCCACAATGAATCGCCCTCTACCTTAGTCCCCACGATCTCCCCAGTCCCATCCACATGTCCCTGCACAAAATGCCCACCCATTCGCGTACTGGGCTTCAAAGCTCTCTCCAAATTCACCAAACTACCAGGTACTAATTCAATCAACGATGTTTTTCTTAAGGTTTCCGGGGACAAACCAACCTTAAATTCGGACAACTGGGTATCGAATTCTGTGACTGTTAAGCAAGTTCCGTTCACGGCAATGCTGTCACCGAGGTGGACGTCGTCGAGAATGGTTTTTGCTTGGATTGTCATATTGAAACTGTCGTCTTCGGTGAAACCCACGTGCTTGATCTCGCCCATTTCTTCGACGATGCCTGTGAAGAGGGATTTGATTTGGGTGGGTTGGGTTTTTTGGGGTTTGTGGAAGTGGCCCATGTAGGTGTTGAAGAGGAGAGAAAGTGGCGCTGATTTGAGATTTGGAGGCAGCTTGAGGTGGGTTTTGGAGGGGATGGAGAGGAGTTTGAGGAATGGGGTTTTTGGAGGGGAGGGTTTTAGGGCTTTGGACAGAGAGGTGATGGAAGAGGAGGAATAGATCGCCATTCTCTGTCTGATTCTAGCTAAGTCAAACTTGTTAGCGATTTAACATGTTTCTTCCTTGTTCTGCATATGTTGATTCATGCCAATCGTAGATGATTTTGAAATTTCGTCGATATATCTCTGTATAAGAAAATAACTTACGATTTAAATTTTAAAAATGAACAAAGTAATTTTTATTTTTTGGTTTAGATCGCTCTAAATTTTATTTTAAAATTAATTTAACAACTATATTAATATTCGAAATTTAATATAGAAAATAGGTCTTTAAATATGTGTTTGAAGTGATTTTTTAAAAGTACTTATAAAAATTATTTATCATAAATACTTTAAAAAAATAATATTTAAAATTGCTCCACCATTATCTGTATCACCACCACCACTGCCACCATCACCATTTGTCGTTGTCGTCGTCACCATCGCCACCACCACCGCCACCACCCCCCACTACCACTGCCACCGCCACCCCCCAACCATCACCACCATCGTCGTCGCCGTTGCCACCACTGCTATCGCCACCACCACCACCATTACCACCACCCCCACTCCACCACCGCCACTACCGTCCCGTCACTGTCGCCCCCACCACCACCATTGCTGTCGCCCCTTGTCACCATCACCATAATCATTGCCCCCCTCCCCCAACAACAATCATCAGTATCTCCTACTATCATCATTACCACCCACCACTTCTCAACTCCATTACAACTGATATTTAAATTTATTTATTTTTCTTCTATGTTTATGATTTATTTTTGAATATAATTACAAAAATATTTATTTATCATTTTTTATTACTCTATCCCTTCAAGCACATGCAATAACTAGTATATATAATAAAGTAATTTTTAAATATCAAAAGATAAACAAAATAATTTTGGCTATTCGCGTTTACGATCGCTTTAAATTTTACTTTAAAGTTAATCTAACGGTTAATATTAACATCTTAAATTTAATATGAATAATAGGGTCATAAGGGTGTATTTGGAGTAACTTTTAAAAATTATTTTCATAAATACTTTTAAAAAAATAGTGTTTGAAACCTCCCCACCACTACCTCTACCACCACTGCCGCCACCGTCGTCGCCACTACCGTCACCGTTGTTGCTACCGCCACCACCATCACCGTTGTCGCCGCCACCACCATCACCGTTGTCGTCCCCACCACCACCTCTACCATCATCGCTGCCGCCACCACCATCACTGTCACCCCACCACCTCTCACCCTCATTACAAATCGATACTTAAATTCATTTATCTCTTCTTTATATTTGTAATTTGATTTTGGATATAAATATAAATATATTTATTGTTTATCATTTATCAATTTTTATTACTCTGTGTTTTTAGACACAAATAATAACTAATATATATATATTTCTTTTGATAATTTTTTTTTCTAATATTGTCTAATTAAATTATTTTTATGAGATTGGATTAAAATCTTATTTCAGCTTAGTTAAGATAGGAAGAGATATCAAGAATATGACTTTACGGATTAAGTAAAATTTTCACAATTATTGTATTTTTATAAGTTAAGAATTTAACTTTCTAATTGTAATGTTTACTTTTATTTTAAATTTTATAATTAAAGAAATTTATTTTACTATTTAGAATATAAATATTTCCCAATCAATGTTCGATATTTGATATCACAAAGTCTTTTCAACCGTGGAATTATTGCTAGTCTATCTAATATTACATNAATGATGAATTCATAATCAGTTCTTAAATTCGGTTGATTTGAAGCTATAAATACAAATCTCATTGGTTTGGCGGAGGATTACGGGTTCCTAGTGTGAGCAATCACTTATGGTTTGTTAGGCAAGGTAGATGAAAAAACGTAAGGATAAAAAGTGAAAGTGATACATTTTCTATTTTTTAAAAGAGAAATTTTTTATTCTCTCGTTTGTGTTTGACAAGATAGATAGAAAATAGGAAAATTTGNTTATGTGCAACCTTGGGGCATGGATAGAAAATTATGCGCAACTAGTATTTCTTATGCACATGGATAGAAAATTAATTATGCACAACTATTTCTTGATAATTTTTAAGTTAGAATTATGCATAAAAAGAGAAAATTTAATTATTTTAATTAAAATTAAATTAATTTATTTTATGCAGTGCTAAATTTAATTAATTAANTATATCTATATATAATTAATGTATACATAAAATGTAATAGATAAATATGATATGTATACATTTTAACACACATAATTAATTTTTTATCTATTTTTTCTTACAATTTTAGAGNATAATTATTTTATGCAGTGCTAAATTTAATTAATTAAATTAGAAAATTATTAGAAAAAAATTAATTANAGAATCGTCAGCCTGTGTGCATCTTGCTTCAATCTGGAATAACCCATATCATAACGTCTCTAATACCCAAATTCATGTTACAACACTCAGTCTCTTGACACTTCCATAGATATGTCAATCATCACTTGAAAAAGTCCAAATTATCTTAACATGTTTGTTAAATNAATTAATTATTATGCACAATTACTCTAACTTGATCAAAGAAATGGTTGTGAAATTTAATTATGCGCATGGATTGAAATTATGCACAACTATTATTTGCATATGGGCTTTTATATTTTATTATTATTATTATTACTTGCAAAACCCAAAGTTTTAGTACTTTTACTGGTTCGTTGTGTAGCAATGGAAAGTGAAGCTGTTTTACTTCATCTTTGGAAGTTAAAAATATTCTCTCAATGAGTCACTGAAGAAAATTGGAAACTTGCCCAAAAGAAAATAAAAAATAATAATATAATTGCATGACACTTTCCTTTATTAAATTTCTATCTATGTGCACAATTTTCTTGCTCAAAACCTGTTAATCACTCATCAAGAATGCAGAGTTTCTCCTTCCACAAGGGTTCTCTCTCTCTCTCTCTCTCTNTTTATTCTTTCAAATTTTCATTCTATTTTTCATTGTATCAAACAAAACATTACCCTAAACAATGGTGGACATGGGCATGTACAGTACAATCTGCCTCTTATGGAGAGAGAGAGATTGCTGCAGCAATACTTGGAAGCTGCATTTCATGAAAATAATGAAATTACAAAAGTGAATTTGGTAGGGTGGCAAGCAAACCCACCAAGTAAACAGAATATTAAGTCCCAAAACCTTAGGCAGTAGGTTCCAATTTCAAGAACCTGGGGTTGGTAGTAACATGCGTGTGGTTTTGGCGGGAGTGGAGTGGGGTTTGTTCTGCAAAGTGCTTCAAGGCATGCAAGTGCGTTAGCTCAATGTAGGGGTACCCTGTGATTGGTAGAATTCAATATTGTTTAATACATTGGTGTCTTTAAGTTGGAAATTGAATAAATATAGGTGTAGCATGTAACATATGTTATCATCCAATGTTNTTGCTTCTTTAAGTTGGAGATTGAATAAATATAGGTGTAGCATGTAACATATGTTATCATCCAATGTTTAATGAAAGAAGGTGTAAATCCAATTATGCTCCTAAAAGATACAAAAATTCTTATTTTACCCTTTGAATAATTAATTTTTTCAGATTACATGATTAAAGAATAAAAAATAATATAATGTGGTCCAACATCTTATTTTTTATTTAGTTATCCGTCTGTTTTATATCAAATCAACCAATCCGAAATCACATAAGCAAACGGTTTCCCTCAATGTATTTTTTGGGATTTTTTTTATTTTTTATTTTTTTTGTATATATCAAACAAAATCAATGAATGTGAGTTTAATAATTTTAAATGAGATATGAAAAAAATAATACGATAACATGCAATTTGTCAGATTATGTGGTCCTTCGTAGAACGCAATGATGACTAAGGATTGATGTAATGAATTCCAAATAATTTATAAAAAATTCAGTTGAAATTGAATTTCATAACTGCAAACCATTTTAATATCGTACTATTTAGACTCGTAACTATAATACAAATAGCTAATATGCACAATTATTCACAGGTCAAGGGCAACAAATCAACCATAGGACGAACTTGAAACTTCGAGGTAATACATCTAAGGTTTCCAATTTCCGATATCGTTGATGATTTGTTACTTTTTTTTCTCACTTCTACACTATGGCTGCCCATCTACCAATTACTTCTGTAACGCCCAACACTTTTAAACTGTTTATTCATAACTGTAAAAAACATTGATCAGAATTAATAAATAGTAAAATTTGCACAAGGGATACCCTGATGCATCAAGAAACAGAAAACCCCAAGAGAGACGGAAAAGGTGCCTCAATTTAGTATACGAGACTCTCATCGTTGCAGGATATGAAGAGAATTAGATGTATGTAGCTTTTTCCCGAATAAGGAAATACTATTTTCGTGACTTGATTCCTTGACGCTTAGATCACAAGGGAACAACCCAAATGTTGCGCCAAAGTGCCTCTCTAGATCCTACAAACCCAAATCCTTTCCATTCCATGATAACACAAAAGGCCAATGATACAACTTTGAATAATAAAGTAAAACAAGAACTCTATTTGGATTTGGATCCCCTCCCACACATTCTTTTCAATTTCTCTCAACTGTAGACCATCCACTGGGGGGGACCCATTTTAGACTGTGGATCCCACTTCAATTCACTTGCATTAGAAGGGGCTCAAATCTACTCCACAGAACATCCAGAGAAACAAATAGAAGAATGTTCACATAATATAGTGATGCACTAGGCTTCAAAAGGAGCTGATGGTAGAATTTGTGTCTAAATAAACACTTGAACAATTCCTGGTATTTGGACATCTAGTATCTGATCTGAGTGAGCAGAGAGAGATAAGGTCACGACTTAAAGGAAATCGACTCAATAATTTTGCGAAGGATGGTTGGTCATGGAGGAGGCGTTTTAGTGACCAACATGCCAATAAATAGGTGAGGTAAAGGGACACCATGTGCAAGAGAAAAGTTATAATCAAAAGAAAGTTTCAAGGAAGTATGCTCCTAAAATAATTTTCTTTTTTTTGATTTGATGACGAGAGTTTGATAGGTGTAGTGCAAAGATAGAAAGA